AAAAAAAACAATGCGAGTCGATGCGGTAGGAATGCGGGAAAATTCTTTTCTTTGTTCAGTTCTTTCTTGAGTTTTGGATGTTTTGAATCATAAGATGCAATCTGAAGATTTTTATTGGATTACACGCTTACCATCCTTCTTGGGCTCGGGCTCTGGTGCAGGTGTTTCCTCCTTAGCGGGTTCACTTGGTTCTTCACTATCAGAATCGTCTCCACTATCATCTTGGTTGTAATCATCCTCTCCAAATGAGCTGAACAATGCCGTGGGGACCATCGTGGGCAATAATGAGACGAACTGCTTAAACAAAGCCTTTAGTCTTTGTTTGAAAAAAACATTTGATTGTGAATTCATAGCGAAAGAGTTGTGGGCATTTTGAGATCCTGACTGTGTCTACAAGATTTTTTTTCGATCTCAACTTCTCTCCTTATTTTTTTTTACTTTTACTGGATTAAAATCCAAACTCTCTTTACTAGACTCTTTTCTTCATTCAAAATCTAAATTTAGTACTTTAAAGTGCATCTTTGACCTTTTCGAACACAAATATTCTAGAAAGATTGAGCATGATTATATATTGTGGACCAGCTGTGTTATTCTGTTATTTCCTTCTTAAAGCATTGTAACTATTTCAGAGAAAAGATCTTTGAGTAAGACTTTATCCAAGATAGGCTCCTTTCTGCACCTAAGCGCCCAGTAACTACCTGCACCCAGTAACTACCGTATCATCCCCCAAACAGCCCTGTCATTCTTTTCGCTCTCAAGCAGAACGCACTTTTAAAGCATGTTTCCATTCGGCTTTCACTTCTTATTCTGCTGTCAGAGAGTCGTCAACGAACGCCAACGTTGGCAGTCAATATTTAGCCAGATCGGCGGAAACAGAGCTGCAGCAGCAGTAGTTAGGAAAAGGCACGGGCCATCGCAAGTTGAGCTGCGGCACCAACTGCTGCTGCTGCCGTGTATTGTTTGCCGAATGAAAAAGGCCTTCTACCTCTTTTTGGGTAAACACCACATCCATACTCACGTGTCTTCTACACTCGCTTTGTTTGCACCCATCTCAATCCCACCGGTGTCGTCAATGTAGCGAGACGCTCAAGTCGCAACTTTAGCATGTTGCCATCGTTAAAGTGCATACACTTACTAAAGGAATTTTGCATGAAAAAAAAGGAGAAATCTAAAGAATCCGGAAATGAGAAAACTGGTCTGGTGTGGTGATGTTGTCTTAAATTTGACATCCTTCAGAACAAACTCGCATGATATAATGTCAATAATTCAAGTTTCTAAACCTCCTTCTAACCGAGTCCTCACAAGTCTAGTCTAGTCTCTGAGTCTATGGTTGTATATAGCTAATAAACTAAGAAAAAAGCTTTTTTTTGTTAGAGATACATAAGTGCTGGAAATTACTCGAGGCCGAATGTTAGTCATGTTTTCACTGTACCTAACATATCTGTAAGATAAAAAGATGTTTGTTACGGTACTACTAAATACAGTATGCAGCAATGTAGCAATACAGTATATTGAATTTCACGAGCCATCATCTCTGACAACCTTGATTTTTCAAGAAAAAACCTTAGAATTTTCTCTATTAACTTTTCTATGACATAGACGCCCA